ATAAGGTTTCAAGCCAACAACACAATGTAATTTCAGACACTATATTATCCACCCCAGTGGTCTCTTTCCTGTTCCTTAGTAAAGGTTAGAAGTGTCCTTCTCTTACAAAAGACAGAACTCTAACCTCAGTATCTTTAGTATCCCTAGAATCATCCCAAATTTTTCTATTCTCTTGTTTGCACATAGAGGGAAACATTCCTATTTGCCAACTTAAATTTGTTTACACTTCAAATTGTCAGGAGAATAATTAAAACGACTTCATTCTGTAGATAGTTTCATGGAATTTCTCAAGAATAATTAATCCCCCTTTGCCACCTATTGCTATTATCAATAATGAATAATAATAACAGTAGCTACCACTGATCAAATTTGTTATACTCGCAGTAACTAGGGAGGAAGAGAAGGCAGGGTTGAGGTCCCTCCCTGCCTGGGTATGTTTCCACACTGAGCTTGGTCGGGCTCCATACAGTTTTGTGTTTGTGCCCGAAGCATTGGTAGGGCTCATGCTCAGGCTTCTATTACTAATAACTCCTTCTTACTCCTTTAATCCAATGCCTCTCATATAGGTTAAAATTTTTATATATTTTAACCAGTGTTCCTATGAGGCGCTAGTGTTCCCTGAGCTATAGAGAGTCTACATTCAGCTGTTATATTGAATAATGACTTTATCCAGAGGGAGAAAAAGATCATGGATAGAATTTTTTCAATTCAAGTTGTTCTCCAATAATTTTTCACAAGTCTTTGGTTCCAGACAACTTTTCTGCTAGAGGTTGCCAGTGTATAACATAAGAAAATGAAATTGCAAATTCATATCAATAGGAAAACTGAAAATCAACCGTATGCTCTTGCTTCAACAGTTTGTTGGGTGTTTTATATTATTTTAAGACATGTGCACTGGTGGTTATGAGTTCATATGGCATACAAATAATATAAGGTAGATTTCTTTTTGCTAGTAAAAATATATATAATAGTGTATAGGTGAAATAAAAATTTATTGATTTGTATTTTTTTAAAAAACATCCCACAGAGAACTTGGTATTCTCCAAATAAAATCAAATGCTATATATCTCTGTCCCCTGAACAAGTCTCAGGTATCCTAACTTAGAAAAATAAGTACTATGTTCCTCTAAAGTGTATGAATAGAAGAGATTCATGAATAAAGGCAATGCTTAAAATACACGTAATCTAAGGGTCAAGTAACTATGCAGTTATTTATGAATCATTGCTAAAATTGATATGTCTGAGAATTCAAACCATTGTTTGACACTGTGGCATCATGAATGCAGATCTAAGATCTCTTAGTGTTCTTTTGCAACAGAATTTTGTGATTTGGAAGGCCTAGGACGATTACTTTGAATGAACTACCTGAAACTTGAATCTCCCAATAAATGATCCTTTAGCAGTTCTTAGAACACCTCCAGTAAGACCTCCATGTGACCCTAACTTCAAAGTAAAATGATAGCATCTCGGTTAGAAGCGGCGTTATTTACATGTGGATCTGTAGGAAGGAAATGAATTGCCCTAGTACATTGTTAGACTAGCAGGATGTTTTATAATATGAATTTATACTAGTTTTATGTGGGTACAAATCTGAAATTATAGTTCTACAATTATATTCCAAACTCTTTGAATCTTAAATAATAGAGCATGTCATCATGTTTTAAACTGTAATCCTAAACTGAATATCACTTAACTGCATATTACCCATGGCCTGAGAAGGGAGGAAAATTCTCTTTATATATACAGCCTTCATTGGCACGAGACATTTTATTTGTATTACCAATTTAATAAAATCCATTGCTGTTCAAATGTTCCCCATATGCAGAGACAGAGAGGACTAAAATGTATAAAGCCAGTTTTTTGTATTCTTCAGATTTGTAAACATTGTGTATATGTAATATTTTGCCTGTTTTTTAAATTGCAGAATATGGAACTTTGTCACTTTTACTTTTTTCTTAAAGTAGAAAGCTCACAACATGAAACCCAGTTTTCATCGTCCTATTTTGATATATCAACTTTCATGGGGCTTCAATTCCCCATGCAAAATTCTGGTATTTTCCCCACAGTGGGCAAGTCCAATGAGAAATGACAGAGGGCCAGGAAGCCAGGGAGAGAGTGTGTCTTGACACGAGAGCAGAGAAAGAACAGGATAAAGCTGGTGCAGGAGTGGAAGAGTGTTTGGCAATGACCGCAGAGGGAGTTAGGAAGATACTGGACAGGAATTAAAACAGAAACAGTATAATAAAGGTGTCTTTGTAACAGATGGACGAGACTGTCCCAACTCTGCCGTTTACTGGCCGTATAGCCTAGAGAGAGGTATTTCATCTCTCTGAACTTCCACTTCCTCCTTTGGAAAATGATGAACCTCCCATCTTCTAGAGCTGTGGTGAAAGACCCGTGTAAACAATGTCACCCCTTCCTGACTTTGTCCTTCCTGGGCTGGGGACAGCCTCGTGATGATGATGCAATCAGTGTCTGAAGTCTGTGCATCCCAAACTCATCCTTCTGTTTTAGTCTTTTTACTCCTGAGAATTTCAAACATTTATAGCAAAAAATAGTCATAATGTATAATGACTCTCCATATATTTCTAACAGCTTCCACAATTACAAATCATGGCCCATCTTTTTCATCTGTTAATATATCCCCATCTGCTCCACACCTTCTGTATTAATTTGAAGCAAATTCAGATGACATACTATTTTATCTATAAATGTTTTTGTATTTATCTCTATAAGTAGTCTTAAAAAGACACAATCATATACCATATCACACCTAAAAATTGTCTTTTAAATCTCTTAATCTATTAGCTAAAGTGCCCTTCTGTCCTCTGTATTAAATGCAAGGTAGAGAATTAATCAGATTCAGGTTGATTTTGCTGCTGTTGTTGGTGTTATTGCTACTGTTATCACCTGTATCAGGTAAATTATATCAACCAACCACATGAATACTACTAAGTGGTATTGCCATTGATGATGTGATCTTTTTCCAAACTGATAAACAACTCTTAGAAAGGGTCTGAACAAATCATTATACAGTCTTCTTGGAAAAGGTCTGAACAAATCAATATACAATCTTCCCTCAATTTAAACAATAGTTACCTCCTGGAAAATTTGGTATTTATTAAAACTACAAAAATATTTTGTAGCCATATCAAATATAGAGCTAGGCTTTAGGCTCAGATAATTATAATCTATTTTCCACCTGCAGGAATGTCTGAAAAGTCATGTGGTATGTGGAAAAATTCTTTCAAGTAGGGTTGGATTATCTGCCACATTGCAGAAAGTCTAGCATCTCTGGCTCCTGGCTGCTAAATGACACTAGCGCCCCACCCAAATCTTTATCAATGTCCTTTCATAGTTATAAAATGTCCCCTATGGTTCACTTAGTCTCCTGTTGTAAACCACTCAATTAGTTTGAGCAGCAGCAAAAGAGGAAATTGGTTTTTATTGCATACATGCAATAATTTTGGGAAAGGAAATAAGAAAAATATCCCATATGGGGGATAAATATTGAAACATTCACAAATTTAAAGGCTTCAAAAATTTTTCTCAGCTGACAGAATTTTATTTCTCTAAACTATGTTGGAAAATATGAATAGGCTCTCTGATACAACAAATGAAGTCATAATGACTTCATAGTAATATATGCACTTCAAGTTGAGAAATTGTTAACAGCTGGGAAACCATCCAGACTGGTACAGGTAGGGACACTGAGATAGTGGCATGGAATGATAAATCCATTTTTAATTCTTTTCTAAACATAAGTACATATTTGTAAATCTCTTGGTGGTATATTTTCATAATTGGCCCATAATGCTGATAAGGAACTGTGATTTATACTCACCTTATTGGGTGATATACTCCTCGTCTTTTTTTTTGGATGTATTAAAAGTCACTTTATTGTCTTTTGTATTTAAATATTGTTCATCATTCCAGGATGGAAACAATTTTCAAATCTAGATGAGAAGATATTTTATTATTATTGCTTAAAGCAGGAATTGTTTATTCATAGTACCTAGCCAGTTCCTGGTACATAGTAGGTGTTCCTTAAATATTTGTTGAATGAATTCATCCAATAGTCATCAACATTAATATATACTCTGTAGAATCATGTACTCTCGTATTTGATAATTTTGTTCTCATGCCATCATTATCATGAAACATTAAGTGTGGGTTTTTTATATAGAATAGAAACTGAATTAAGTGATTTTTTTTTCTAAATCATGCTACTGGCATAACTAGGAGAAGAATTAAGTTTTCTGGCTTTGATTTTACTATTTCTACTGATAGGATTCTTTATGCATTAAAATTTTATGGTTTCTATTCCTGCTGCCTGTTTCCATGTTTTCAAACATTTGTTAAAAGAAGGAAGGGAAGGGAAGGGAAGGGAAGGGAAGGGAAGGGAAGAAGGAAGGAAGGAAGGGAAGGAAGGGAAGGAAGGGAAAAAGGGAAGGGGAAGGAGGGAAGGGAAGGGAAGGGAAGGGAAGGGAAGGGAGAAAAGGAAGGGAAAAGGAAGGGAAGGGAAAGGGAAAAGGAAGGGAAAGGAAAAAGGGAAGGAAGAAAAGGAGAGGAAGGGAAGGAAGGGAAAGGAAGGAAGGAAGGGAGAAGGAAGGGAAGGGAAGGGAAGGGAAAAGGGAAAAGAAGGGAAGGGAAAAGGGAAGGGAAAAGGGAAGGGAAGGAGGGAGGGAGGAAGGGAGGGAGGAAGGAAGGAAGGAAGGAAGGAAGGAAGGAAGGAAGGAAGGAAGGAAGGAAGGAAGGAAGGATCTGTAATTAATTCCCCTGATGTTTATCTACTGGCTTTGACATTTAGAAATTCAAAATAAGATATTAAACATTTTGGTGGCAAAGTCTATCTGGTAAGAGATGTGGCTCTCCTAAAAGCAGGTTACGTTATTTAATGTCTGCAAACTGCAAAGCAGGTGCAGCATCAACATGGTAATTGTTCAGAGACTGGAACTTTGTAACTATGGAGACATTACCTCATAGTTCTAAGGGGCAGTGTTGGCCAGATGTGAAAGCTGTAGTCACAAAGGTCTCTTTGCCAGGTTAGGTTACTGTCCTGTCTCTTGAGCTTCTTCAAGTAACTGCTATACACCTTCACCGTGCTTTGTCTAATATCCTGAGCCAGTGTCAGTATTGACTATGTTGTTACTTACATATTTACAAGAGAATTCTGGTTCTGGCAGCAGCTTGGTAAAGAAATCATTAGATCTGGCAGGTGCTTGAAGGCAGCTGGATTAACAGGTGAGGTCACTTTAAAAAGAAACCCTGCCTTGAATGTCAGCTATATTCATTGCCTGATGTCATGATCTGTTTCCTAGGAAAGAAAAGAGACTTCCCTTGTAGCCAAGATGAAAGACAGACAAGACATTCAGGAAGCTTCAAAGGCCCCGCAGCATGAAGCCCACAAAAAGAAAGATGAAGTGGAGAAACAAAAGCAGTAAGAAGCACAAATGCGAGAAGATGAGGATGAGGGTCTGAGTTTTAGAGGGATATTGATGGAGTGCTTGATCTCTTTTGTTTCATCTTATGAAGTGGTTAGAACTAGAAGAGATTCCACAAATTTAATAAAAATAATGAACTATAGCATACAACTATTTCCCCAAACACTGTTTTATGCGGTTCTAGTCCTTCCATAATAGAACAGTTCATCCTGACAGATCTCCATCATATAAGACCGAGTTAAGAGTCCAAAGTTTCCATTCAGCATCATAAGGCAATTTGTAGACAGCCTCTTCAGAACTATTTTGCTGACTCAGGGACAAAAAATTACCAGAATTTTGGTTTTAAAAATGTCTGTAGGGATGTTTTATAAAATTACAGCTCCCTATTTTTACTACTACTACTACTAAGACATTCTATCAACTAAAGCATTAGCATTGGTTTTCCAGTGTTTTTTTAAAAAATAGATATTTAGGCCAGGCATAGTGGCTCACACCTGTAATCCTAGCACTCTGGGCTGGCGGATTGCTTTAGGTCAGGAGTTCGAAACCAGCCTGAGCAAGAGCGAGACCCTGTCTCTACTATAAATAGAAAGAAATTAATTGACCAACTAAAAATATATATACAAAAAATTAGCTGGGCATGGTGGTGCATGCCTGTAGTCCCAGCTACTCGGGAGGCTGAGGCAATAGGATCACTTGAACCCAGGAGTCTGAGGTTGCTGTGAGCTAGGCTGATGCCATGGTACTCACTCTAGCCTGGGCAACAAAGTGAGACTCTGTCTAAAAAAAAAAAAAAAAATAGATATTTATAGTATTGAGTATACATAATTTAGAGCTACTGTTACTTTGGACCTAGATGTCCTGTGTTTACTATTCATTCCAAATCCATCTTTTAAATAGTTGTTCTTAAAGGTCCTCTGAGAAATTATTGTCATTGGTATTACCAATGAAGTCCCTCCCAAATTAACCCTGAAATGCTGGAACTGAGCTTTAGTAACTGCCACTGGTTTCGTGCTAATCAATTACAGAGGGAGCAAAATACCAAGGAGTTTGGAAAATTCCTTATGCTAAGGGGAAAACTAATTAGGCATCAAGAAAAATCTCTCCAAAAGGAGTTGAATAGGTAGGCAAGTGGAGAGTTCAGAGGGTAGGCTGTATCACATGAGTTTGTTCCTGAACTCTTTCAGCTCTTCCAAAGATATGTGTAGTCATCAGAAATTCCTTACTCAGCTACAAAAATAAGAACATCCTGTGGCCCTGGGCCAGGTTTCTCTGACTGCAACATTTACAAAGTCTTACTGGGAATCTTTTGTGGAATTCAACTTAGTTGGAAATGCTATTGTTTTACTGGAGGAAAAAAATTGGGAGCTTAATAAAATGAACATGCTGAAAAGATACAGCCAGTCTATGATGAAACCCAGATGTAAGGGATGTGAAAAGAGAAAAATACTGTCCTTGCTTGTTGTAGTCAGTGTCAGGGAGACGGCGTGTCATATAGTCGTGTCTCGGATTGAACAGAGATGAAATATTTGTAATTTGACGATTTATGAATACCTCTGTGACCTCCTTCCCACTACCTCCACAATTAGACTCCAGTGCATACCTTCATGGGTTAGAGCTTTTCTGACAAACCTGAGTGCTTGGGTGTCAGCAGAATGGCAAGTGTGCAAGCTAACTGAGCACTGGGCCAGTGATAATGCCATTTTCCAATAACGACATTTTCAAAGCCAATGCCATTTAATTATTTTAAAAATTTGCCTGAGCTGTCTGTGCCTTCTGAGAGGTACATTTAGAGCAGGTGGATTTGGATCACAAATCTCTCCAGATACAAGATTTCTAATGAGGGAGCTTTCAAATTGTAGAACAAAATGATTGTTAATACCTCTTGGTAAACAAAGATATTGAGGGTCACGTCAGCAAGATGGTGGACTAAGAAGTTCCGGACCCTCATTCTCCCACGGAGACTTAAAAACAACAACAAGAAAAACAAAAAAAACTAGAGACTGGATAAATTGACTTTATAAGAGCTCTGGAGAACAGATCAAAATGGAGATAATCCATGCAAGCAAAATGCTTAGCTCCTGCTTATAGTGGATACATATGTGGCCCCCAGAAAGGGGATGGTTGAACTGGCTATTTGTCCAGTGTTTCAGAGAGATAAAGGGTTTTGGTTTCCAGTACTTTGCTCATAATCTAAGCATTAAACACACATACACAACACCCCCCCACACACACACACACATGCACACACATAGGTGCACACACACAAGATTTGCTTTGAGGTCATTGGGAAGAGTCTCAATGTGACTCGTAAAATGGAGTGTCACAAGCCTTTTTATGATCCATATCACAAGAGTATTGTTTAACTTGTAAAATAATTGTACTGTAGTATAGGGACCTTATTCAAATGACTGTGAACTAAATGCTTTTGTATTTATTAAAAAAAATAGAAAAATCTTTGTTCACAGTAAGATTTACTTATAATCATAGCACCAGAAAATTATCTTTCTTCTCCCTCTTTTCTGCCATTCCCTCCACCCCCACACACACAGAGTTTATATGAAGGCAAACATTAACTATAGAATGTTTGTTTGTTTGTTTGTTTGTTTATTTTGAGACAGAGTCTCACTCTGTTGCCCAGGTTAGAGTGAGTGCCGTGGCATCAGCCTAGCTCACAGCAACCTCAAACTCCTGGGCTCAAGCAATCCTTCTGCCTCAGCCTCCCGAGTAGCTGGGACTACAGACATGCACCACCATACCCGGCTAATTTTTTCTATGTATTTTTAGTTGGCCAATTAATTCCTTTCTGTTTATAGTAGAGACGGGGTCTCACTCTTGCTCAGGCTGGTTTTGAACTCCTGACCTTGAGCGATCCACCCGCTTCAGCCTCCCAGAGTGCTAGGATTACAGGCGTGAGCCACCTCGCCTGGTCTAGAATGTTTATTAATATAGAAAAATTAGTTAAGCAGCAATAGGAATTAAAGGAAAAAGGTATAGGAAACAATGACATATTTAACAGGTTATTAAGTATGAAATGTCCAATTTTCTTAAGTACTAAGTTTGACAGTTGATATCTCTGACATTTTACTTTGACATTCTTGTTTTATGTTTATTGTGAAGGTACATCCTCATTCTTTCAAATGCATGGTTTGGCTTGTGATTATCTGTCATATTTTTTAGAGCAATTTTTGTGAAACCATGGATAAGTCAAAAATTCGTGTTATTTTTGAATATGAGTTCTGTCATGGAACCAATGCAGTACAGACAGCTCAAAATATCAACGAAGTGTTTGGGAAGGATGTGGCTAATGAACACACAGTACATCAATGGTTTGAGAAGTTTCGTCCTGGTTATTTTAATCGTGAAAATGAACCATGTGGGTGACCTGAGACCAAGGTGAATAATGATGAGCTGAAAGCTATAGTGGAAGCAAATTCATCTCAACCTATGCATGAATTAGCAGCAACATCTGATGTTACTATTTCAATAATATTGGACTATTTGAAATAAATGGGCAAGGTAAAGGAACTGGATAGATGGGCACTGCATGAATTAAACAAGCGTCAGAAGAGAAATCATCTCGAAAGTCTCGAAGCTTACCTTTCTTTGCTGTCACGACACAAAGGTAAACCAATTCTATACCATATTGTTACGTGTGATGAAAAAGGGATTCTGTTTGACAATTGCTAGTGTTCTGCACAATGGTTGGATAAAAATAAAGAGCTGAAACACAGTCCAAACCCGATATTCACCAAAAAAAGCTAATGGTGTCTGTTTGTGGTCCAGCACTGGTATTATCCACTACAGCTTCCTGAAACCTGGTCAATCGATTACAGCGGATGTCACTGCAACCAGCTGGATGAAACGATGAGGGTGCTTGTGATTAAGCAGCTGAGATTGGTCCCTAGAGACAGGCCAGTCCTTGCAAGACAATGCTCAACCACATGTCTCATAAACAACGCTGCTCAAACTACACAAGCTGGACTTGGAAACTCTCTGTCATCCACCGTATTCACCAGACCTTGCACCAACTGACTACCACTTCTTCCAGGCTTTGGACCACTTCTTATAAAGAAAAATATTCAATTCTCAACAAGCTGTGGAAAACACCTTTCACGATTTCATCGCCCTCGCTTCTCAGGCTTCTTTGCTGCTGGCATAAACAAGCTACCGTTGAGATGGCAAAACCGTGTAGATGGTTTAGGCACATACTTTGATTAATTGTACTGCTTTTTGTTTGAGATATTATAAACTATACTTTTAATTTGAAATCAGACATTTCATATTTAATGACCTAATATAGTAATGTTTTTATGTTAATGGAAAGGGGAAATATGATATAATAAGTGATAAAAATGAGGTATAAATTGCTTATAAAGTCTCAACTTTGAGTGAAAAATACATTGAAAAACCCGGAAGGAGATGATGAAGTGTCTGGTTGGTGACATTATAATGATCATTTTCCTTTTTTTTACTTTTACACATTTTCAAAAATCATCTACAATGAAAATTTATTAATGTTTCAATAGATAAAAAGAGAAAAGCATGTAATAAGTTGACACTTTGGCATTTTATTTATATTATTAAAATGAGAAATATATTATTGTGTTTGTGGTAGATGCATTATACCTACGAAAAGCAGAACCCTAGGTAATAATGATAGGCCATGCTTCTTGCATTGATAGCTGTTTTGACTTTCTTACTTTATTTTTGTACACAGAAGTAGAGACAAAGCTGAAGATTCCCTAGTGCTAAAACCATCTTCAGTACATTTCTTCTCAAAGACAGGTTCAGGCTCTTCACCTCTGACACTTTCACAGTCATCATCCGATGAAAGGCCTCTCAGTTACTATCCATCTCAGATTAGTGGTATAACAGTATCGACGATTGGACAACTGACTTCTAAAGGTAGCAGCGTAGGTAAGCAAAATATGTTTCCAATATTTTTAGGCTATTTTTAAAGCATATATTTCAATAGATTCTTTCTATGCCTCTCAGCCAGAATGATGTTTCATTATTTGTCCCAAATAATGCTAATTTCTTAATGTCAAATACATAGTAACTTAACTGTGGTCATCATTAATTTTAGAACTGGAGTCAAAGTCAGACAAGATAAATGCATGTGCCCAAATATATCACCCCCACAATTAAGATGTCTTGAGTTATCCTGGTGGTTGGTAGGTAGGCTGCTAACATGCTCTAGAATTGCTAGAGAATTAAAAATTCCAATGTATAGCATTAACTGCCCTTCCTCTGAAAGCTACTGGAAAGGATTAAGCAACATCTTGGATATTTTGTGCCTTTGGGAGATTTATGACTCAAGTAAAGGATAGACAGATAAGAGAAAGAGGAAATATAAAGTAGATAATAAAATGATAGAGAGAAAAGGGAAAAACAATAAAGAGAACTTGAAGGAGAGGAAAATGAAAACAATACTATGGTAGGAAGAAGTAAAGTTTTGACTGTTGTCAACAACGTACTCAGCAATACTCACACTGTTGGGTGTCTGTTTCTTACCATGTTTAGAGATCTTTGAGGGTATGTTTTCTTAGTTTACTGAAAACACAACTGTCTTTATAAATACATGACCTACTGTTTTTCTATCCTTCTACAATGTAAGGCACAGAGTAAAATATTTATCATCTCTGGGTCTCATTAAAATATTTATGAAAATCACCTCAGTAAATACTCAATGAAAATTAATTGTGAATCTGAACATGCATGTAATCACATTCTTTGAGAATAGGCTAGATTTGGGGGTCTTTATTTCAATTACCAGTCAACTAACAGGTTTCAAAACTGGTAGTGCAAACACTTCCATGACTATCTGATGTCTCCATGTTTCTCTAACATTCTGTGGATATTTACAGCCTGGCTTCCTCTTGTCTATATTTCATTTTGTTTCTGGTATTTTCCTAAGGGTTTGGCACTGTGTTATATGGGGTTTTGTTTTACTGCCATGATAGTCATATTTCCTATGTTTTTTGTTTGTATGACTAAGATAAATGTACAAAGAAGTCTCCAAAGTTTACACTGACCTTTAGCAATGATCAAAATCCATATGCTTAAAAATGCAAATACACATTTTAGATCCAAGGAGGAAGATTTTTCCATCATTTGGCATTAAATCATATGGCATATGTTCTCTACTTGGGTTAAACTACAAAAGCTCCTAGTAATGGGGGAAAACCCCCAAAATATAGTGGCTTCCGTTTGCAAGATCGGAGCTGAATTGGGATGTAGTTCTTCTCCTTCAGCTACTATGGATTCTGCTTCTTGTATATAGATATCTAGGTCCACCGAAACTTGTTACACCACCATCTGTTGTTCTAGAGGAAATAACAATTGGGACCAAAATTAACATACCTTCTTTCCTTTTGGAAAAAAAAAAGGCTTTTATCCTTCAGGATGAGCTGTTGAGAAGCATGCTGTATATTATTCTTCCCCAAAGGAATTTAAGGATTAAGTAAATACTCATTTAACTGGGAATCAACTAATATAATTCCAAATAATTCTTCTCAACCAAATACTTTTAGGAATCTTCTTGAAGAACTATGATTTCATTCCTTTATATCATTCACCTTGTTTTGGTTTTGTGGAAGATATAAGAATCTAAAGCAAACTCTAGATTGTCTTAATCTTTTGAGGATTTCGGACCCAGGGTCACATGAATCAAAACTCTTGTACTGTAGTAATAGCTATCATTTATTTCATACCAGCTAAATGCTGAACATTATGCTGGACCCTTACCCACATTATCTTCAATCCTCTTATCTTCTTATACAAAGGAGTATTTTTGTTCTTATTTTATGTTCAGGAAAATTAAAACTTGGAAAGTTTAGATTACTTGTCTTAGCAAATGGCAGAGCTGGAATACAACTGCAGATCTGTCTAAATCCAAGACACTTTGCTATGTTGCCTCTTTTTAGTATAACTCCTTCTCTGCAGACACAATATTAGACTCATCCAGAATGGCTCTTTCTGTGAAAAATAATGAAAACTATGTTGTATTGGAATCTTTCGTAGTGAGAATTTCAAAAGAAAAAACTTCTAAGAGAATACTAGAATCTGATTATGCATTACTTTATCTTTCAATAAAGTATTTTAGTGATTAGAGCAAGTTTAAGTCTCCACTTGGCAAAGGTACCAACTATTGGTAAGAAAGGACTCACTTGAGACTTTAATTTATGGATTATAATTTGGGGAGTATAGAAAATGTGAAATAGCATAAGGCTATATTTATGTATAACATATTCAAATTTGACAGACTCAAATGTTTTACCTACTCAAAAACTGATGATGCTTCTAGTACAACTAAACAATCAGTTAAATAGTCATTATGCTGATGATATAACTGATAGGTTAAGATAACTGGAATAATCAGTAGGAATTGAGATGTCACTAAAAATATCCACTTACTGGTTATTTGATAGACATTTGTTTAAAGTTTCTAGCTATTCTCACAGTGTTTGACAATGACAGTAAAATGTCTAAAGAATATATATGGTTTTGTAGAAGCAGGGATTAAAGATAATGGCCTTATGTTCTTTTAACATCCTTTTATTTACTATTCTCTTGGTTGCTTTCGTCTTTAGTTTCTTTGAAAGAAGTCAGCTGCATATTGGGTTCAAAGAAACATGCTCTGTTGAACCTTGGTCCTGAGATACCTGTGAGTGGGGAAGGAGAGGATTATTTCCTTTCTTTGTTTGGTGATTCAAAGAAACTTACTGCACACTCAGGCCACATCGAGAAAACTTACAAACACTTTTCTATGATTCTTGAAGAAGTTGGCCATTCTACAGCCAGGTATAGTCTATTTGAACTATTCAATATCTTCTGTTGGTTAGGACCAATATATCAGTAAAAAATAAAGTTCCAATCTGTTGTTACATACATGATTTTATCTAAAACCCTAAGCAAGTCATTGAAAATATAACTGTTTCATCTTCTGAGTAATTAAAAACAATTGATAAAACTTTCTAGGGAACCAAACACAAAATGTTAATTTTTCAGAGCTGCCAGAGGAAACATTTCTATGTAATCCCTACAAATAGGGTCAACACAATTATTCAGAGACTTTTTTTTATTATTGGTGCATTATTCAGATGGATTTAATATAGTTTTTTCTTCTAGTAGATTCTTGAGTTCAAGACAAAGGAGAGGCATGAATTTTTACTTCATTGATCCATTTTTATGGGTGTTAGTATCTGTGATAAAATGAATTGATCAGAAAGAAAGTTGATATTAGGACTGAAATAAAAGAGCTAACTCATCTATCATTTACATAACTCTGCCTTACTTATTACATAAACAACACATGGAATTGTGAAATGTTAGTAATAAGCACATGCTGATAGAGGGTGTTAGAAGGCTAAAAGAAATTGTTAACAAGAGTTAAGGGTCAAATATAAAGGAAACTTTTTTTACCCCTTTGCCATATTTCCTAAAATCAATCACTTTTGCCCTATTACCATTTAACTATGGAGAATACCTAAGTATTTGCTCAACTGTCTAAATCACCTCATCAAATCATTCAGTACCCACAGTGTTAAAATGATGAGCTATTTTGGGCAAAAATTCAACAAATGCTTCCATTTAAATGCAATAAAAAAGTATGATGCCATACAAGCAAGCTGGCTTCACCTCATCCCTCCACCCCCGAGAAAACAAAAACAAATATACAGTGCCAAGATTATCATCACAAATATCCCCGATATCAAATATGAGGATGAGACAGTTCCTGAGACAACAGAGAAGTGGAAAAACTCTCACAATAATCAAACTCTCAAAGATCAAGGCTTTGAAAAGCAGCAAGAGAAAAGAAGCAAATAATATGTAAAGAAGCTTCAATTCATCTGACATCAGACTTCTCAGTGCAAACCATACAGGCCAGGAGGGAGTGGCACAACATTTTTAAAGTGCTGAAAGAAAGAAAAAATAGCATCCAAGAATACTATAGCTAGCAAAGCTATCCTTCAACTATGAAGGAGAGATAAATTCTTTCCTAGACAAACAGAAGCTGAGAGAATTCACCACCACCAGACCTGACTTACAAGAAATGCTAGGAAAAAAAACATACTAATGGACAAAAATAAAACATTAGAAGGTACAAAACCCACTGGCAAAATTAAAACACTCTAATACTATAATTGTGCAGTGTAATCCATTCATAACTCCAATATGAAGCCCAAGAGACAAATCTATCAAAAACAATAATAGCTACAGCACCCTATTAAGAAATAGGCAATATAAAATATGTATGTACATTGAGAAAACCAAACATCAAAATATGAAAGGGATGAAGTTAAAGTGTAGAGATTTTTTTCATTTTTCCTTTGTTGGTTTTTAATCTTTGTGATCTAAGATAAGTTGTCATCTCTTTAAAATAACATATTATATTTATAAGATGTGTTTTGTGAGCCTCATGTTGCCACAATGCAAATATCTGTAATAGAGTCACTAAAAATAAAAATAAAAACATTAAAGCATACTTCTAGAGAAAAATCACCTAATCACAAAGGAAGACAGTAAGAAAAAAGGAGTAAAGAGAGGGGTTTCAAAATAACAAGAAACAAAATGACAATAGAAAGTCCTTGGCCAGGTGTAGTGGCTCACGCCTGTAATCCTAGCACTCAGGGAGTTCGAGGCGGGAGGATCATTTCAGCTCAGGAGTTTGAGACCAGCCTGAGCAAAAGCGAGACCCTGTCTCTACTAAAAATAGAAAAAAATTATATGGACAACTAAAAATATATATATAGAAAAATTAGCCAGGCATGGTGGCACATGTCCGTAGTCCCAGCTACTTGGGGGGCTGAGGCAGGAGGATCGCTTGAGCCCAGGAGCTTAAGGTTGCTGTGAGCTAGGCTGACGCCATGGCACTCTAGCCTGGGTGACAGAGTGAGACTCTGTCTCAAAAAATAATAATAATAATCTAGGGAAATTGTAAGATTCACTGCATTTGTTCCCTGTCTCTCAGGGATCACTATTCTTCATTGACCTATATCAAATATCTTCCAAAACATTGTTTTATGTATTTTCCAGAATTTTTAGTTGTTTCAGGTGAGATGATAAATCCATTTTCTATTACTCCATCTTGACTGGAAACAGAAGCTTATTCTCAGTTTGGTTGTTTTCAATCAAAGCTGTTGTTTCAACTGGGCGCGGTGGCTCACACCTGTAAATCCTAGCAGTTTGGGAGGCTGAGGTGGGAGGATCACTTGAGCCCAGGAGTTCAAGACCAGCCTGAGCAAGAGTGAGACCTCATCGCTGCCCCCACCCCCCAAAAAAGAAAAGAAAAATTAGGCAGATGTGGTGGTGCATGCTTGCAGTCCCAGCTACTCGGGAGGCTGAGGCAGGATTGCTTGAGCCCAGGAGTTTGAGTGAACAGTGATGACGCCACTGCACTCTAGCTTAGGCAACAGAGCAAGACCCTGTCTCAAAAAAAAAAAAAAAAAAAAGTTGTTGTTTCTTTCCTATTTGTTTAATATCTGCCAGCAGCAGTAAAAAGGGTTTGTAGGCAAACAACAAACAAAGTAGATACATTATTAAAATTTTCACTAGTTATTCATGATCTTTTTCCCTACATCTAAGACCTTATCTTGGCTTCAGGTTTAGTTCTAGATGCCTCAGGACTGATCAAACTATATTAAGAAGGTTACCTTCCTACCCATCTACCATCTCTACCTCCAGGCAATTCAGTATTCCTCAAGTTTAGAGTTAGAATGATATTAATAGTAAACTCTGGACTCGGGCTCACCAAGATAATAGCCACATGAATAGTTCTGGTTCAAAATAATTTATGAGGTTGCAAATACATTCATAATCCCAAAGGACTGTGATTCAGACTACACCCCATTTATTCTTCCCTTGGATGATTTAGAACCTGGTGGTAATGATGTACAAATTCACCTCTCCCTTACATTAATGATCTATCACCAAAACTTTTAGGTGTGACGGCTCTCCTCTTATAGTACCAATGAAATTAATCAAGTTCCCTGAGTCCTTCCAAGTTTTTCCTTTAAAAATGTAAAGAGTCCTAAATGCTACACCCCCTCACCAGCCCACATCTCCCACGACTATTAACACAGATGCCAACCTGTATACAGGATGTTTGGTAGATACAGGTTGGCAAAACTGAAACTCTAAAGATAATTTTAGCAAATTGCAGAGTAGCAGAAACCTAAAAGCAGATAAATACAATGGAGCTATCAAGGAGAACCCAACAACAAGATAAATCAGTGCTTAAATAATAGAAAGTAATTCTTTTTTGAAAAGTGACATAGCCATGGGTCTCTTCAATCTCTTTGCAAATCAAGTCTATGCGAAGGCTACTGACAGGATGATTGGGCTATCACTTTCCACTCTCAGCCAATCACAAATTCTAAGCAGAAGTGTCCCAAGTTACTTTCCTACTAAAGATAAATGGGGAGCCTTACAGGGAAGAGAAGAAGATAACTACTAAAGGCGGTGTGATAGCAGATTAACAGCCTGGGTCTGTGAATTTCCATGTATTGTGCAATGTATTTTTCTGGGTCTTACACAAAAATAAAGCAAATAAAGTGCCCTAATATGGACAATGTTTTTTTTTTCTTTCAGACAAGGAAATTTGTCCTACTTATGCACGTAAATAAAAATTTAAGATGAATGAATAAACAGTTCACTTAAATAATAAAAGATTTTTAGAAAGCAACTGTAAATATTCAATTATATGTATGATAACAAAGGGGATAGCTGCGCTATTCCAGGGTTTTACCTGTTTAAAAAACAAAGTCAAATTAGTGCTCATCCCCCTGGGGAGAAAAGGCACGTCTGAAAAACAAAAGGGCATTCTTTCAAAAAATAAAAACATCCCACAGAGAATTTAGTTAACAGTAAGGTGAGGATGACATAAAGAAATTCCAGAGACGTCAAATAAGAGTAAAATGTTACATCCACAATTCAGTAAGAACCATGATGATAACATAGAAAAAGAAGAGAAGAAATTGTTATGTAAACTGTTCAAAAGCGAACTTCTATAAAACAAGCATTCTCATATAATGCAGTGGGAGTATGAAGTGACGCTGCTGTTTTGAAGGAAATTTGGTCGTGTGTATCAAGAGATTTCATAGATGCTTACACCCTTTATTGTCATAATTCCTCTTCTGGGAGAGGAAACCCAGAATGACAGCCTGACATTTGGAGCCACTTTTATCCTCAAAATAGCTGCCAATTTGAAAGCATCTGCTAAGAGACTGATAAATTCATCAGAGACTTTGGCAGGATAATAGGTGGGGTGAATAAAAATTAGCCTTCAAGGCTTCTCACAAAGAAGGGTCACTGATGAGTGCCCCCAGCTTTCAGCAGGACCTTCAAATGGTACACCCAAGAGTAAGGCTGTACTCAAAACAGACCAGCCCAGCATCAAATTATTTCACTAGTTAATATGTTAACTAGTTAACCCTGATTTAATTAAAGTGATTTATTCTCAATATAGATACCTGTCAGTAGCAAATGTAAATTCTCTCTGGAGTGAGAAAACATTATACAGAGTTTTAAATTATCTCTGTAATTTTAAATCTGTAATAGTAGGCACTAAATCAAAAACAACAAGGTGTACAAAAGATAAAAGTTGACCAAAATTTAAGATTGAAAATGGACACAAGAGAAAAGCCTGGTAGATTGAGATACTGTGGTTATCTACAGGGATTTATTTCAAACTAATGACGACTAAAACATTCAAAGAATTAAATGATAAGATAAAAAATTTAGCATAAACCTAACTAAAAGGATCAAAAGAAAACTCTAGAAATAAAAAATCCACTGACAGAAATTACTATCTCAGTAGGTAGGTTTAACAGAAGAGAGATTTGATATAGCAGAAGAGAGAATTACTGAACTGGAATATTCTCAGAAAAAAACATCAAGACTGAACTACAGAAAGCAAGGACATTACAAAGGAGCACAAGGGACAAATATGGCAAGATTTTTGTAAAAATCTAACCACTTATAATTAAAGTTACTGAAAGAGAGGAAAGATGGAGGTAGAACAGTATGGGTAGAAATACAGCAGAGAATTTTCCCAAACTAATGACAGAGATCAAGCCAGAATTTCAAGAAGCACTACCAACTCCCATCAGAACAAAAGACAACAAACAAACAAAGCTTGGTACATTGCAGAAAGACATGTAAAACAGAAGACGAAGAAAATGTTAAAGTCAATCCGAGAAAAAGGGCACTTACCTTCAAAGAAACAAGGAAGAAATTAGCTGGCAGTTGGGTTATCAACAGAAAAATAGAAAACAGAAACATTAGAATAAATTTCCAACAAGGACATTGGGACCGAAACTGCAGACCAATTGGGCAACATTTCTGACAAATTGATTCTAAAATCATAAGAAGTACGTATTAGTTTTCTATTGCTGCTGTAATAAATCACCACCAACTTGGTCACTTAAAATAACATGAATGGCACACATTTATTAACACACAGTTCTATAGGTCATAAGCCTGGCTTGGCTCAGCTAACTTTTAGAGTATCACAAGGTCAAAGTCAAGGTGTCAGACAGTTGGGCTCTTATCTGGAGGCTCTGGGGGAAATCTGCTTCCAGGCTCTTTGAGGTTCTTGAGGAAATCCAGTTCCTTGTGGTTGTAGGAGTGAGCGCCTCATCTCCTCACTGACTGTCAGCATGGAGTCACCCTTAACTTTGGAAGCCCTCTGCTCAGTCTTTGCACATGGGCTCCCACATCTGAGAGCCAGCAATGGTGCATCAAATCCTTCTCATGCTTGAACCCTGGCCTCCCTTCTGCTGCAGCTCTCTTCTGCTTCCAGCGGAGTAAATTCTCCAACCTTAAGGGCTCATTTGATTAGATTGGGCTCACTTGAATAGTCTCCCTATCTTAAGCTCCATAACTTTCATTATACCTGCAAAGTCCTTTTTGCCATAGAATATAACATAGTCACAGGATCCAGGGATTAGGGATGGATATCTTTGAGCAGCTATTCTGTCTACCACAACAAAGGGTCAAAGTCCAAAACAGTTAACACAATATTGAGAAAGAAAATGAGAGAGGATTTGTGCAGCCAAAATCAAGTCTTAATACAAAGCAACATAAATTAAAACAATTTAGTATAGACATAGGATAGAAAACTAGATCAATAGAACAGACAGAAAGCCTTATAATAGTCAGAAACTTGCTCTGTGACAGAGATGACATTACAAATCAGCAGAAAGATGAGGGACAATTTAATAAACATACCTAGGAAAATTAGTTCCTTATGAAATACACACACACATATATATATCGTATATGTACAACACATATATATCCTATATGTACAAATTAAAGCTGTAAAAAGCAAATTCTTGCAATATTTAGAAGAAAATATGACATAAGAGTAGGGAAAGAGTTTCTCTGTAGGACACATGAAGCAGAAACTGAAAAGAAAAATATTAATATATTTAGCAAAAAATATTTAGTAAAAATTTTAGACGTTTAAACTGTACCATAAGAGACTGAAGTTTTTTTTAAACAGAAGCCTCTTCTTGTGGAAAATATGTGCATATATTTAAATACTGTACTATAAATACCATAAATCAACCATAAAAATTCAAAACAAGCCTATAGAAAAATGAGCAAATTGACATGAACAGACAATTTATCAAAGTGGAAAAGAGTGGCCAATAAGTAGCTTGTTGGACTGAGCTATAATCAGGGACAAACAAATTAAAACAGCGATGAAATTCCACTTTTTACCCATGATAGTGAAAAAAATCAGGAAGTCTGAAAATGTGAAGTGTTAGTGAGGATACGGGGAAGAAGAAGAGGGAATGGCAGGTGTGTAGGCAGTGGGTGAAGCATGCAGCAGCATTAATTATGCTCCTGCAAGGAATTCTTTATGGTGGCAGTTTGAGGATGAGATGGGAAGTAGGGGAAAAGAGATTAAAGAGGCTGGCAGATTACATAGAGCCTCATAAAGTTTGTGTTTTCTCTGGAAGGAAATGGCAAGGCATTGAAGGATTTCCAGCAGGGAAGTGGCAACATCAGGTTTCGATTGTACAAAGATTGCTCTGGAAGCCAAGTGGAGAGAATGTTGAGGAGGGGATAAGACTGGAGAAGCCGGTCAGCATGCTGTTACAGTGTCACCAGAGACGATGCGAGACATGGAATTGATCTCTCTAAACTTCGGTTTCTCTTTCAATATAAAATGGGACTTAAAATAGTATCTGTCTCTGGCCGGGCACAGTGGCTCACACCTGTAATCCTAGCACTCTGGGGAGGCCTAGGCGGGAGGATCGCTCGAGGTCAGGAGTTCAAAACCAGCCTGAGCAAGAGTGAGACCCCCGTCTCTACTAAAAATAGAAATAAATTAATTGGCAAACTAAAAATATACAGAAAAAATTAGCTGAGCATGGTGGCGCATGCCTGTAGTCCCAACTACTCGGGAGGCTGAGGCAGGAGGATTGCTTGAGCCCAGGAGTTTGAGGTTGCTGTGAGCTAGGATGATGCCACAGCACTCACTCTAGTCCGGGCAACAGAGTGAGACTGTCTCAAAAAAAAAAAAAAAAAATAGTACCTGTCTCACTAGATTAGTGTGAGAATTAAATGAGATAATATAGAGTTCCTCACATTTTTTGGACTGTGCCCTTCAATAAGAAATATGTAGAAATATTTCAATGAAAAGTTGAATATGAACATATGTTATTGTGAGGATTAAATGAGTTACTACAAGTTGACTTCACCAAAATATTGGTGACTCATATATTTATAGATTCAGAATTTGGTGAATTTTAGGAAAGTATGGTCTCTAGAACACATATTACATAACACCCCATCAGGACTTAGAGAAGTCTCAAAAATCAAACATTAATTTTTCTGTAGGAAAACATTCACACAAACCACTATTGAAGATTATAAATAGCTTCATCTCAGTTTAGAGCCAGGTTTTGCTTCAAATATGTTTTTTAAAATTTTTCTGTTTTTTGAGAGTTTTTTGGATTTTGGAACTGTGAATAAGAAATTTTGGAGAGTTTTATAAAGATAGATAAAAAATAGAGCTAGAGAGAGAGGTATAGATATATATTGTTTTTTAAGTGCCTGGCTTATAAGTAGTATCGGTTATTATTATTGTTAGAGATATAGTTTATTTTTACGATGCTGGTCCTAACTCACCAAAGTGATTTCATGATCTACTAATAGATTGTGACTTATGCTCTGAAAAATGCTGGTGTGTAAATGTTTAGCTTGGTCCCTGGAACATTCCAAGCTCCCAACACAACTTAAAAAGTAAAAAAATACCATTTTATGTGTATATAATAATGTTTCACTTTTCAAAATTCTCTTAATCATATAATTGCTATTCTTATTCTCAGCCATATTTTCAGAAATAAACTAAATGGTTTAACTTATCTCTTGATCTACTTTTGAGAGTTTCATGTCTCAATGATTTTATGTTGAATAGTATAAAATTTAAATAATTATAAACAGACCTTCCTATGGTATTTATACCTTGACACCTAAAGTACTTTTTAGGTTTTCTTAAGTTATTGTATGTGAAATAGGTAATTTTATTGCACAGATAAAGAAACAGAACTAATAGATCAAGCCATTTATCTTAGATTACAAAATACGCCATTTCTGTGTAGAACTTGTCCACTAGAATATACAGTTTAGGAGCAGCTTCCAAAGCATAATTATTATTCTGTTCTTAGAGCGAGCCAAAGACACTCTTATCTGTAGGCACCTTATAATCTTTGTGTTTTGTTTTCCAGTTCTCTTGGAGACATTAAAATAGTTGACGTGAATGTCAAGGGTTTGTTCGTGAAGCTCATTAACTCTTCCCATGACAAAGAACTCACAATTGGGGATCATATTCTCCAGCAAAATGTGAATGGACAGAGAGTTTCTTTGTACCGATTCCTTCCAAACATCATAATGCAGGCCAACTCCACAGTGACAGTGAGTATGAGATTTACATAACGGAAACTAGAATCGTGTAGGAGAAACCCATTTACACTCAGCACCAGATTTACCATCACTCAAACTGTGCATAAGATATGATTTTGTTGTTGTTGGCTAATTATGTCACTTTGTCCACCAATTGGATATATATTAATACTCATAGTTCAATTTCTACAGCTTTCTTCAATTAGGTGTCCAATCCGTTTTTTAAATGATTTGCCTATTACAATGAAATTCCTAAATTCCTAAAACTAAGCAAACATAATCCTTAAACAATAAGCAAAGACGTTTGCTTAGAAAACAGATGATTGATGCTGGTGGGCTCCCACTCTTTCTCGTGCCTTCCTTTAAACCTGTATAGGAGCTGTTTGGTGTTACACAGCTTGGCATTATACAGCATACGGTCATGATAATGTAAAACCTCATCTGCTCAGAAAGATTAGGTTGCAATAGCCCTATGACATATACGAAACTGTGTTGAACTCCAGTGGCATTTGTCATGAACAAACTATTTTCTTTCAGGTGTGGGCAGCAGCCTCTGAAGCAAAGCATCAGCCACCATCAGATTTTCTTTGGAAGGAACAAAACAAGTTTATAACGAGTCCAGACTGTACAACAATCCTGTGCAAACCTAATGGCCAAGTTAGTGTCTGGTTCTTAATACTTTTCAATGAAATGGAGAGCCCTCGTCCTCTTGGCTCACTCAGTTGTTTTCCATCCCTAAAAGCTTGGATGGAATCATCATTAAATGCTGTACCACAGCAGGTGCAAATCAATAACACCCTCTTCCCAGTGTCAAAGTGTCCAAGAGCTACTTACAATTTGGCAAAAATAATTTTTGATATCCCATATTTCTAAGAGGCTACTTCAAATTTCAGAGTCAAGGGTGGATTTTATTTGTGATATTTTGCCTGAAGAGTGGGATAAAGAAGGTACTACATACAGACCTTTCCTATTCATTTATTCATTTCTCAAATGTTTATTGAGATTATTCTCTATTCCTGTAGGTGTACTAAGTACTGGAAATATAACAGATTAAGATAGAGTATCTGCTCTCCAGGGACCAATATTATAATGGAAGAGCTTACAAGTCTTAATTTGAAATGAATATACCTTATTCACTGTAAAATTAAGTGTATTAGTAATAGCATGGTGCAATCTATTCAGAATATTTGGCAATTTTATATATTTGATCTACCTTTCCTTCAGCATAATATTAACATAAATATATGCCCATGGACACACCAGTAAGGTTTAAAGGGATCTCTTGTCATAGAAAAAGTTATTCCTTTTTAAAAACTATTCTTTAGATCTTTATAAAATACCTGTCTTTTACCCTTAGTCTAATTTACCATGTCATATAAACTACCAACCCACAAAATATGTTTATCAGAATCTATGTCTGAGTTTCTTTCTTGCTACATCATACTTGATGTTGAGATTGACTTTCCCTTTGGAATTCTGAGAGAACAGTTGTCATTAGACAGAGAGAACACTCAGACATAACTTAGCAGCCTTCACTCACTCAGCTTTAGATCTCTTTGTGGACTCGAACTGAATTTTATAATACTTCTGATAATTTTCACTGATGGGGAAGATACAGTTATGCAATCTAAGTTATTCACTCATAAGAAAATTATTAGCAAAACACACATTAGGGTTAAGGCATTCTCAGCTCAGAACTTTCGTCGTAGTTATCCACTCTGTAAATGGGTTTGTGGTTTGGACTTTGTATGTATGCTACTCCAGGCACAGAGTGTTGAACCAGACAGACCAGGTCTCTGAACTCTCGGAACGTACATTTTAGTAAATTATCATTTCCTGCACCTGAATTAGGCTTTCTGCTTAGACTTTTCCTTTTACCCAGTGGTTTGAACTACTTTGCATATATAGGATCAGACCATTTATGTGGGGTGTTGTAAGGACAAATAATTGTGTTTGCTAATGAAAGACCAAACTTAGTTGATTGATTCATATGGTAAATATTTACATATATTTAGTGTCTGTCAGGCATGGTACTAGGTGCTGGAAGAAAGAATGTTAAGTATTGCATAGTTCCTGTCCTCAAAAAACTCAGAGTCCACTAGTAAAAATTGATAAACAATAATAAATGGAAAAGCATTGAGAGGAAGAAATACTTGTTCTGAGTCTGTAGGTGAGAGGGAGTTTACCCAGATGTCCTGACTCACGCTGATCTTGCCCCTTTCTTCCTCCCTAACTCACCTCTCACCATTGTTCTCTGTGCTCTCTGCTCTAACCACACTGGCCCCCTTTTGCTACTTTTGCTTTCCAGTACTTGATGCTCCTTCAATCCACAGGGCCTTTGCACATGCTCTTGCCTCGCCATAGACTCTCTTTACTCCCTTTTTACCTATTAAGTCCTATCTGCTCTTCAGACCTCAGCTCAGGTTTTCTTTTTCTAATCACATCCCATTGGAGTAGAGATATTCCACCCTTGGTAAAGCATAAGCATTATTTAATTAGCATTATTTAACTAGAAAATATTTCCATTAAATAGGCTGAAATGTGACTTTAAGTCAGCTTGAAACTCTAATGTAAGCACAGAGGGGTTTTTTTTAACAAATTAATTTCCATTCTCACTTCAATGATACAGGACCTCACTATTTGCAATTGCTGGGTAGATTTTTCTTAAAACTGCAGGATTTTACATTCCCATAGACATGCTGAAACATAGACAGACCAAGCTTTCATCATGACCCTGGAATTGCTTTCTATTTATATAATTTATATGTAGAAAATAATTCATACCTTGTGGAAGAAGTCACAGAGCCGGCAACTTTCTGCCTAAAACACCAGCCAGTTATACAGATCAGAATAGATCCTGTTTCTGGACTTGAATAATACTTTTTTTAAGATAGGGCAAAGCAAAGTTATCTTACAGGGCATTTTTAAAAAGTTAACTATGTAATTGTTTTTCTACTTTATCTTCTGTAAAGAGATTGTCCAGTATAATCACTGAGATTCTATGAGTCTATAGATTTCTAAAACAGGACTAGAGTTTTTTTTCACCAGTCACATTACTGTCCTTATAGGATTTGTAGCCTCTATATTACATGTTAAAAAAACTAATAGACATCTTATATTTGTTCAATGCCTGGTACTTTCCCAGTACAGTGATTTGCATTAGAGATCCAGGTATGGAACAGACCAATCCCAGGCAAAAGGAGCTCATTGAAGGGCTGTTTCTATATGTATTATCTCATTTGCTTCTCAGTAATATTTAAGTATTTTACAATGGAGGAAAATGAGGCTTGGAAAGTTAAATGACTTACTCAGAGTCACATAATTAGTAAAATGACAGAACTAAAATAAAACCACATCTTTTAACTCCAAGAATTTTTCTATTGTCCTAAAAATAGTTTACAAAGTTCCTCTGGCCAACATTCTAGAGCTGAGGTTAAATTTTATCCCATTATCACCATCATTATCTAATATTTTTAAATTCCTATGATACAGAGAAAAATAAAATAGTGTTCTTATCTAGGAAAGGCATATTATCTCATTTAAAACAAACACTGAAAAAAAGATCATGAACATATTTTCAATATAAATGACTGTGTCTGAGCTACTAAAGAAGGAGGATCCTTAACTGATGATCTATAGTAAAAGTGGGACTTTCTCGTTGTCATCCATGAAAATGAACTTCAAAAAAAAAAAATTTCGTCTTTCTCTTTGTCTATTGTGGGCTTAGCCTCAGCTGAATTTGCCTTATGTTTTTCTTTGTGTCTATTTAATTTGTCAAGCCAAGTAGAAGATTTGTTAATGGTTACAGAATAAAGCCCAAACCTCTACTTTTATAAACTAAAAACATATCACAAGAACAAGTAGAAGGTTAGGACACACTTTGGTGCTTAATTTTCTCATGCTGAATAAAAATATAACTGTTAGTACCTATGCAGAATTTTTCTAAATAATTTTTGTACATATATGTTGTGTACTTGCCACATAGTTAGGAAATTGAACTCCAGCTTTAGTGCTCATGGGTCTCTTTAATACTCCCACCTAGGGGGTCTAGCCTAGAGAACATGTTTTCTTCTCCATGTCTCTAGTTCTACTGCCCATTTCCCAATCCCAAACAAGATACTGATATGTATGAATATAAGTATAGTGTCTGAAATGTTTAAAATTTTAACTTATTAATATTATAACTACTTTTTGCACAGTTCTTTATAGTTATGAAAAGCAATAGCTTAACTGAATTTTACAGCACCCTCGTAAGAGCAATTCCTCACTACCAATTGAGGAGCAATTCCTCCCCATTTTACATATGAAAACACAGTCCAATATAGTAAGTGACTAACCTGTCTGAGGTTATGCAGCTTGTAGTATTTAGAACTAGAAGCTAGGGCCAGGATGTCTTACTACATCCTTATCATGTGGTTCAGTACTCCACTGACAGTAGATAAGTGACATTATACAGTTTACTTTTAAATTCTTTTGTACCTTATCTTATACTATATACGAAAATCAACTCAAAATGGATAAAAGTGTACATAAAACTCCTAGGAGTTTTCACATAGGTGAAAAGTACCTTGACATTGACCATGGCAATGATTTTTTGACTATCACAACCAAAAGCTCCAGCTACAAAACCAATAATACATAAATGGGACTACATCAAATTTAAAAGTTTCTGCACAGCAAAGGAAATAATCAACAAAAGGAAACTGCAGCCTGCAGACTTGGAAAAACTATTTGCAAACCACTATTTGGTAGAGGTTAATATCCAAAATTTATAAAGAACCCTTACAACTTAATAGCAGAAAGATAATCTGGTTAAAAATGAGCAAAGGACCCGAACAGACATTTCTCCAAAGAATACATTAAAATGGCCAAAAAGTATTTGAAAAGGTTTTCAACATCACTAAGTACCAAAAAAAAAAAAAATGCAAATTAAAACCACCATGAGATATCACCTCATATCCAGTAGGATGGCTGTTAATAACAAGAGATTACAAATGTTGGCAAGGTTATAGAGAAAGGGGAACCCTGTATACTGTTAGTTGGAATGTAGATTGGTATAGCCATTATGGAAAACTGGAGGTTGCTAAATAAATTAAAAGTATAACTACTGTATGACCCAGAAATCTCTCTTTGGGGTACATACCCAAAGGAGATGAAATCACTACCTTGTAAAGATTCTGCACTCCCGTGTTCATTGCAGCATTATTCACAACAGCTAAGGCATGGAAATAATCTAATTGTCCATCAACAGATGAATGGATAAAAATGTGATATATATATATATAGATATATATAGATATACAGTGGAATATTATTCAGCCTTAAAAAGGAGATTCTGCCATTTACCACAACATAGGTGGATCTGGAAGATATGCTAAGTGAAATAAGCAAGACATGAAAAGAAAATATTACATGATCTCTTAAACATAAAATGTGAAACTTTATGAATTCAAGAAGAAAATGTTGAGAAAACTCTTGTAGACATCAGCCTGGGCAAAGAATTTATGAAGAAGATCCCCAAAGCAATCACAGTGGAGACCCAATCAAATTAAAAAGCTTCTGCACAGCCAAGGAAACTATCATTAGAGCAAATAGACAACCTACAGAATGGGAGAAAATATTCACATGCTACACAACTGTTAAAGGGCTGATAACATGAATCTCTATAGAACTTAAGAAAATTAATAAGAAAAAAATCAAACAACCCCATTAAAAAGTGGGCAAAGGACATGAACTTTGCAAAAGAAAACAGAATAATGGCCAATAAACATATAAAGAAAAGTGCTCAGCATCTCTAATCATCTCAAAACCACAATGAGATATCACTTAACCCCAGTGAGAATAGCTTTTATCAAAAAGTCCCAAAATAAGAAATGCCGGCATGGATGTGGAGAGATAGAAACACCCTTACACCGCTGGTGGGACTGCAAATTAGTACAACCTGTGTGGAAAGTAATTTAGAGATGCCGCAAAGAACTAAAAATAGAAATACCATTTAATCCAGCAATCCCACTACTAGACATCTACCCACAGGAAAAAAAGACATTTTTTAATAAAGAGATCTGCATTCACATGATAAACATGTGAATGTTTAACAGCACACAATTCACAATTGCAAAGATGTGGAAACAACCCAAGTGTCCATCAATACATGAGTGGATTAATAAAATGTGGTATATGCATACATAATGAGTGAGATGTGCACCATCTGGGGGATGGTCATGATGGAGACTCAGACCTTTGGGAGACTCAGACCTTTTTAAGGTTTATTGAAACCTTAAAATCTGTACCCCCATAATATGCCGAAATAAAAAAAAATGTGGTATATGTATACCATGGAATACTACTCAACCGTGAAAAACATTGGTGAACTAGCACCTCTTATATTATCCTGGGTGGAGCTACAGCCCCATTCTTCGAAGTAAAGTATCACAAGAATGGGAAAAACAAGTACCACATGTACTCACCATCACATTGGTACTAACTGATCAACACTCAGGTGCTCACATGGAAGTAATATTCATCAGGTGCCGGGCAGGTGGGAGGGGAGTGGAAGGGATGGGTAAGGTCATAACTCATGGGTTTGGAGCACACTGTCTAGGGGATGGGCACACTTGTAGCTCTGGCTTGGGTTATGCAAAAGCAATCTATGTAACCAAAATGTTTGTACCTCCATAATATTCTGAAATTTAAAAAAAGAAAATAAATAAATAAATTGGTAAAAGAAAGAAAATTTTCATGATCTCACTTCTAAGTGGAATGTTAAAAAAAAGTCAAATATACAGAGATAGAGAATAAAACTGCTATTATGAGGGGCAGGGGAGGAAACAAGAAGATATAGGTCAAAAGATATAAAATAGCAGATATGTAGGATGAACAGATCTAGAGATTTAATGTACAACATGAGGACTAATAAAATCGTATTGCACTTAGAATTTTTGTTAAATAAGTAGCTCTTAGCTGCTTTTGTTACAAAAAAGTAATTATGTGAGATGATAATCTATCTTAATTTGCTGCTCTATAGTTACCATTTTACTGTCTATACGTATCCCCTAACATCATGTTATAAACCTCAAATATACACAATTGATGTTAATGAATTGTTTTCATTAGGCTGTTGCCTGGTACACTCTTATTCACTGGAAGCAAGCATGGGAGAAATTAGAGACTGACATTGAATTTGACAGATCTTCAAAAGTAACTCCAAAATTCCGAAAGCACATGTTTCGGTGGGGAGGGTCTACAACTACAGTCACTACAGAGGCAGAAGAGCAACCTCAGAAAGAGACCTCAAAATGTCAGCTGGAACCAGAGCAAGTTTTTCTTTTGAGGTAAAAGTTGTTTTGTTTTGTTGGTTTTTTTACTGTGTCCTTCTCACAATTAGTAACTGAGCACATGGGAATGACTGGATGACAAATAAATATGTGATGAATAAATAAATCAATAGGACCCATATGAAAAGCATAAACATATAGAGTGAGCAGGCACATAAAACTCATGGGGCAATGAAGGCTGCCCATCGTGACTAGGGAATATTGAGATCTCCGTGGCCATCGCGTTTTTCACTGGCACTGCTATTGGGGGCAAGGCTTCTGCAGAGGGGTGAAGAGGTGAAGTTATCCCCAAGTTTGTAGAAGTGCTAAGGTGGGGAGAGGGGTGCATCATCTAGAAGTTTCATCTTGGGTCAAGGGTCTCTTGGGTCTTGGGTCTCTGTCTACAGAGGTGCAGGACATGTTACTCATTTGTAGGCAAATGCTTTTGAAGTTATAATAAAAGTTCTGCCCGCAAGGTCTAGAAAAGCTATATTCTCTTGTTGTGGAAGCATGCTTTCACTTGAATTGTGCCTTCAGCACTAATGCCACCGCATAAAATGTCTTTTGAGTTCAGTTTGGTTCTTGTTTTTCTTTTGCAGAGAAAAGGAAATTCCACCAACCCTTTTCCCTGATAGCAGCCCTTGGTGCCAGAGTCCCTTCGTCCCTACACATCCCTGCAGTCCTGTGACTCAACCGTACAACACAGGCACTGCTGGAAGCAGGTTGGGTAGACAGCCCAGGTCTCAGTTAGCCAGACCTGATCCAGCCTCAGGTGGGTCAAAAGGATACTTACTCCAGTGGAGAGTAAGGAGTGTGCGAGTGTGTGTGTGTGTGTGTGTGTGTGTGTGTGTGTGTGTGTGTGTGTGTGTGTGTGTTAACAGCTAGTGAAAAGGGATTGGTTAACTGATAAAATTTGCTAACTATTAAAAATAATTCCTATTCTCAATAATAGATGGTTCTCTAAGCAAGTATTGTAAGCCCTTCACTTACATTTGCTCTAGCACAGTATCTTCCACAGTTAGTTCTTGATAAATATCTGTTGAATGAATCAAAAGAACAGTGTGGCCAGCAGGAGTATATATGATCCTTGAAGTTCATTGAAAAGTACATTTTGCTTTATCATCAGGCAGGAAAAATTGATCTTATTAGTCACGCTGTGCTAAAAAATATCCATCTTTCCCAAACGCACTCTAATATTTATCCCAAACTCTTCTTATTCCTTCCCTCCTCACCTGTAATCTTTAAGACACCCTGGCAGATACACAGGACTCTCCATAAAACAGCATGAAAACCACGGTGTTGGCATGCTAGCATGTCCTGGGGAAATAGCGATCTGAAATTAGTGTCTTTTAGAAATGGAATGATGGAAAGTTTATAAATTACTGAATATATTACATTTTCATAAAATTGCATACCACATATATCTATGCCTGAGTTTTTTTTGTTTGTTTGTTTGTTTTTTTTTTTTTTGAGACAGAGTCTCACTTTGTTGTCCAGGCTAGAGTGAGTGGCGCCAGCCTAGCTCACAGCAACCTCAAACTCCTGGGCTCAAGCGATCCTACTGCCTCAGCCTCCCAAGTAGCTGGGACTACAGGCATGCGCCACCATGCCCGGCTAATTTTTTCTATATATATTAGTTGGCCAATTAATTTCTTTCTATTTATAGGAGAGACGGGGTCTCGCTCTTGCTCAGGGTGGTTTCGAACCCCTGACCTTGAGCAATCTGCCCGCCTCAGCCTCCCAGAGTGCTAGGATTACAGGCGTGAGCCACCGCGCCCGGCTATGCCTGAGTTTTCTTATCTGGAAAGTAAGATTTGGGTCTGGAATTTCAAAGGCTCTTTCAGCAATAAATTCTGTGAGAAGTAGATGTAGACATAGATATAGATGTATATATAGATATATATATATACACACATATATATAAGTTTTTGTACTTTATAATAAATTTGAAGTTCTCAAGAAGTATATTAATTTATTATTTTACTTGTCCCGAACAACTTATTTTCCTAAGAAATTTGGTTTCAAATATTTTTAAGGCACATTTCTTATAGTGGTGGCTACTCACCTTAGTTATTCAATAATTTGCTATTCAATAATTTACTATTCAACACAAAACATGTCACTTTATGTGTATATTTTGTAATAGCAATTCAGAAAGATTGTTGCTCATCATTATATAACTTTTTAATTTTCTATTCATTAAATTTTCAACATGAACAGATATACACCAGAATTGTAAGAACCGTTCTTTAATTTCTATTGCAAAATATGGCCACAAAGGGACAGATTTTATGAGTGCTTGGTTAATGACGGATTGTATAAAACAATGGTGAATCACCAGCTCATTTCCTTGAAAGAATATGTAACATGATTCTTCAAGGAAAGTTACATGGTTTGTTAATTATCTAGTATCTTTTAAATTTGCCCATTAGTGAACTATTTGCTATCATTAGCACACACTCAATAACTGTCAAAGAAAAACAGATAAAACAAAAATTCATCCATTTTACTTGTAGGTTCTTCAATCCTTCCCCTTTTACCCTACAACATTTAAATAGTCTAGTTTGCTGAGTTACAGAAGAAAGAATCTTAGATAGAAAGAAATCTATCTTCTGTCGGGGAATAGTTGCCTTGTTTTTAACTTTGTTTCTCAAATGTGCTATGGAGGAATTTAGAGACTAACTAGTAAGATAATTTTAAAGAAATATCTACAACACCATATGCCTAATTTATACCAAGCATAGTTTGTCTTAAAAAACACATTAAACTACAGAAAATATAATGTAAAAAGCATCCATATACTCATCATTCTGAATTAATTCATGTTAATATTTTGTCATATTGCTTCACATTGCCAAAAAATTCATAAATTTGAATTTTTCTCTTTGATTGTCTTTTCAGTTCTCATTTGATATTGCAATAAATCATTCTGGCCCTCATTTGTATATTATAATTACATATCTATGGATCCATAAAATATACATAGCATAATTTATGTATTTTCAATTACATAAATGGCCTTATGCTAAATGTGACTTCTCTTTTTTATTTATTTGGAATTCCTTATCTGTCATTTAAATATTCTGATTTTGTTTGGTATCCATTGCTAGAGAGCTGGTGTTCCCTTTTGCAGGTGACCTTTCACTCTGATTCTTCATACTTCCAGAGTTCTTACACTGATTCCTTCTCAACTGCAGCAGCTGTTGCTTCTTATTTTTGGATTTTCTTTTGTTTAGATAGGGCTTATTCCCCTCCCCTCACTCTTATAGGTGTGTTTGTAGCATATGTTGGATAAGAACCTTTGGCTTTGCCTGTGGGGGCTTTGATGGCGATCTAGGTTCTGGATGGATGCCTTGGTGGTTTTCCCAGTTGCTAGTTGTTTGTGGGCTATAGCTATGGTGAGCTATGTGAGTGGGCAGATTCCCTGTCTCTCTTTGATGAGGGAGGACGGAGGGCTCTGAAATCCTTTCTCTTACCCTATCCCTGTGGTCTTCTTAACAGTGTGAATTGTATTGGCATGCCCAGATTAATCTCTGAGACAGTAGCTGGTGCTTGTGGGTGAGAATCAACCACACCCTGTATGATTGAGTCAGAAAATGCTGTAATGGGAGTGTGCAAAGTATTTTCTATCATAGACAATTTATTCAACAATTACTGAGTACCTACAATGAATCACAGGGCTAGACACCAGAGACACAAAAATAACTAAGGCACTTTTCTTCTAGGGTGAAAGACAAAATAGTCAAGCAACCAAAAGTAGTAGGAATAGTGGCTTTCAAATGTTTTTTTTACCAAAACCACAGGAAGAATTATGTTTTATATCATTACTTGATGTCTATATATGTATGTATATAACTGAAGCAAAAGTTTCAAAAGACAATATTGATTTTTCTAAGTGCAGTACATTTTGATATTTCTTACTATAGTCTCTTCTATTTTATTTTTAAATAAATAATGACCCTCAAGACAAGAATGATGACTTCTATTCAACACTATACTAAAAATATGCATGTATCTCATTACCCCATAAATGAACAATTCCATTCCCAGGAACTATATATGCCCAACAAATACATACATATGTATACCAAAAGACATGTACAATAATGGTCACAGTAACTGTTCTTGTAATAGCCAAAAACTAGAAGCATTCCAATTGTTTATCAATAATATAATGACTAAATAAAATGATATGTTCATATAATCCCATAAGCAATGAAAACGAACGAACTGCTACATGCAATAATATCAGTGAATCTCATATTGAGCAAAAACTTTCAGACAAAAAGGATTATACATTGGATGATTCCATGTACATAACATTCAAAAACATACAAAACTGAACCATGGTGTCAAAAATGATAACAGTATTATATTTACCTCTGGGAGAAGGAAGTGGTAATACCTGTAGAGTATACAAAAAGCGCTTCCAGACTACCTGCAATGTTCCATTTCTTGATCTGAATGGTGTTTACAAGTATGTGTTACTGTTTTCATCATGCCGTGCCATCATGATTTGTGAACTTTTCTGCATGTATGTTATACTTAAATAAAAACTTATTTTTAAAAAGCTTAATGAAAAAAAAGAAAAATTAGAAAGGGAAGAAAGCATGGTCACAGTAATGAGCACTGACAGTTTCTACTCTGCCAAGGAAGGAGAAAGAAAATCTAACAAAATGCAAAATGAATATTAACAACATGAAGCTTATTTAGTATAGGAAAAAATAGTCTTACCATAAATAAGCATAAGCCTATCATTATATTACAATGTGTTAGGCATTAATTTTAATATGGTTTGTCATATCTCAGTCATTTCCAGGAATACCTCATGGCAGAGATGGCTAACTGCAGCCCCTAAACCACTGTTCCTTTAGACACAAGATTCACAGGTCTGGGGAAATCTAAACACATGGATGCCTAGAATAAAGCCTGTTTCTTTCAGCCTCTGCTGCAGCTAGTGGGATTACGTGTCAACGTTCTGTACAATGGAATGTGAACAAAAATCATTTGTGCAACATGTGGATTATGCCCTTGGACTCTGTGCTCCCTGTATCTTCTCTGTGGCATGATAGCAGGGGCTGGAAATGCCATATTTCAACTCTGAGATGAAGCCATGTGTCGAGGACGAAAGAGCCACCCTAAGTGCTCTGTGTTGGCACATCTCCAGACTGTTAAGTGAAAGAGACATAATCTTGTTTAAACCATTGTTAAGTTGGATCATTGCGTCTGAGCCAGATGGCCCACACAGCACTGCTACCACTTAAGATTTAGTTTCATTTAACAGGCTACTGGTTAAAAAGAAAACAAAAATCACAGCTACAGCGCACATTTTTTAAGACAGGCAAATTTGAATACAGAATGGATATTAGACATTGAGTCATTGGTCTTTTCTTAGGTGTGTTAATTGTGTTGTAGTTATCCTGGCTGTTCTTAGGAGATTCATACTGAAATCTTTACTTATTTTCTGGTGGTTGGTTTCGTGACGTAAGCATATATGACAGATATAAGACAGATAATGAAAATATGGCAAAATAATGATTGAATCTGGTGATAGATATACAGGTTTGGTTGCATTATTCATTGATATTTTCCATATGTTTGAAGTTTTTCACAATAAAATTTTGAAAAAAACAAAATAAAACAGACCTTTTTGATAGACCGTAATATGCATCAGGAGCTATTAGAGCACAAAGGCAAGGCCTTGAGTCTGAGTCCAGGAAGGAGTCCCTCCAACACAGGACAAAGGCCTCTTAACAAAGCAAATAGGTTTGCATTGTCTTGCCATTATTCATCCTGGACCTAAAGAGAATGTGCTTTCTTCTTGCTGAGATTAGCATGCAGATTGTGGGCAATTTTGTCAGTCTTCCGTAACTCAGGTTCAGTGATAGAAACTAGTCTGAAGATAGCATTTTACAAACACTGTCTTAAAGTAATATGGTGAGTATTGTCACTGTTTAATGCACTTTATTTGCACCCTGTTTTACATGCTTTGCCTATCATCTGTGATCTCTCTTATACACTACAGTAGGGTTCATTTTAACTGTGGACTGCACACCTGCTACCATCTTCCATGCAGATATTATTATGGTAATAATAAAGCCTCCTTGTTTCTGAGGGTTACAGAGCCACACTCTGAAAACCAAATTGTTAGAAAATAAATGAAACTAGAACATAGATAACCTGATGCAGAAATGAAACATTTAAAATCTCATTAATGTGAGCTCTATATTAAGATCACATTCATGAAATTTTACTTAAGCTGGACTATGGGAAATTACTCATTACAGTTAAATAGATCTGACTTATCTGTCTTGGGATCAAAGTATTTCGTTCCCATAAGAAATTGCTTCCAGGCCAAGCACAGTGACTCACTCCTGTAATCTAACACTTTGGGAGGGCAAGGCAGGAAGATCGCTTGAGGCCAGGAGTTTGAGGTCGCAGTGAGCTATGATGACACCACTGCACTCTAGCTCGGGCAACAAAGCAAGAATCTGTCTCAATAAATAGATACGTAAAAGTTAAAATTAAGATTAGAAAACGTAAAGAAAGAAAGAAAGAAATTGCTTCCAATACAGGTTTGAGATAAATTTTCTTTATGTATTCTTCGGATTAGTATCTGTTCTGTTTATTGATGCTTGACTGTATCACATGGTTTAAATTTATCAGATTAAGAATTTGGAATGCCTAACATCACTTTTCTATGACTGGGTAGGGTATTGGTCAATATTATATATATGTATATAAATATATATGTATATGTATGGCAATATTAGTCAATAATATAACTCTAAATTGTATGAATCATTATACAGAAATTTTTAAACAAACAAAAAAAAAGATCTGAATATCCTGTGGAATAGAAAAGGTTAATTGCTGTATTTTGACCACTTAAAATCAGACTGAGTAAAACATAATAACTTGAAGGAGCACTGCAAAATGCCAAGAGGTCCTATGCAGATTGTGTTATCAAATAAAAGTAGCAAAAAATAGAAAATTTTGTATAAAGAAAAATTACACTATATCATGTATTCAAGGGTAATTATATTTCTCTTCTGTTGCTTACTTTCAGAAAATTTAGATTGTAATATCACCATATATCTGCATGACTTTTTTTTTTTAAAGAATAGACAAGTGAGAACAAATTTATGTCTCTCTTCTTACAGCTGAAATAAAAGTTTTTTAAATACCCAAATAATGAATTAATTGCAAGGTATTAGTCTTCATAACAGCATAATTAGGTAACATTATCCCTGGCTCTTTCGTTTCAAAACATTTCAACATTGCAAAACTAGCTTTTTAAATTGCCCTTTAGTTATGAAAGATTATAGCCTCAATTATGTAAATATATGTCCATTTCTTCACACAAACAAAAAATAAGCTTTTAAGAAGTCTGAGTATTCAGATTAAAGCTAGTAGGTGCTAAATGTTTCAGGCTCAAATAACCCAAAAAATTGTCATCACCCAGTGAAACTGAAACAGATAAACACCACTACTAGTGATAGTCCTGTCATTAAATTTCAAGAACTTATGGATGGGTATTTTCTATAAATGTTTTTAGCTCTAAAATACAGTATTTTTTTTTTCTTGAAAAATAAGCTTTCAGGGTGCAGTTCAAAACCATCAAGGGACACACATAAAATATTTACAAGATCTGTTTCATTCCAACAAACAGCTCCAGAAGTTGAGAAGTGACGAGCTAGATTCTTGTATCTAAGCCACTACCTTTGCTAAGGAAAGTATATTAGGAGCCTATTTCTATGCCAGGTCCATAACTCACTATTCAGAAAGTTTATACAGTGATTATTGATTCTCTAGATTCAGAAACCTATTAGTGGCAAAGAAAATCACCATTGTTACCCAAAAACATCCTGCATTTTTGTTAATCTTCCTTGCAGTTCACATTTTCATATCCAGCATCTGGATAGTGTTTCTTTGTAATCAAATACAATTTAACTTGATAATTCTTCTGAGCCTGCAGACAAAGAAAGGGTTAGGTCCGACTGAGGAGCTTCTCTTGTTTTTTTCCCAGAGGAGTTCGTTGCTATCTGTGCCTACAACATTATTTTGCTTTCTTGCCTCTTATTCTATAGGAATAAAAACAACATCTTATTTCCGGTCTAGAAGTCCTTTGCACTTGGGATCATTCGATCCAGTACTCTTTCAGCTGGATATACTAGTTTCATATGTGGAAATTATATTTAAACAAAGTGACTTTCAATACCTACTTAAGTATATGGGAGTGACAGTGAGGAAGGCCACTATGTCACCTCATTTGTCACCAGCGTGGAGTCAACTAATGTGGCAGGCGAGGCAGCCTCTCCTTCTAGTCTACTTATTCTCTCTTGCACCCTCCTGAGGCAGCCCCATCTGTCCCCTGCTCCCCTGGCTACTTTGCATTGTGGCAATTGTAAGTGTGGAAAGCATTCGAGGAATTTCACAGTCCGGTAAAATTATTCTGGAGACCTCTATTTTTTTAAAACTATATCTTCCAGATGGATTTTTCTTCCTTCAAAATCTTGATTAATTGTGTCTTGAAATATATGCTTCCTTTTACAACGACTCATTGAAAACTTGGACTTAATAATAGTCAAATAATACCTTTCAGGTGGTTTTTAAACCTCTTGGTTCAAGTCTCCATTAAATACCATCCTTAAGCCATAGATTTCTTCTTCAAACAAAAGAAAATCCTTTTGCTGTTAGCTTATTTCAGGATCTCTTTTAATGTGAAAAAAAAAAATCAATGCTGTAATATCGGACTGAACTGTTGTCCTTCCCTACCCACACCCCCCATATTTTTTTTTTTTAATTTTCAGGGACCAAGAAAAAGAAGACGTTTAAGTTACACAGCAACATGCAGCCAACTTAACTTCTAAAGGTAAGTAACAATATTGCAAATTTGCTTATTCTGCAGAAAAATAAGACTAAAATAATTTTATATATAAATATAAATTTAGTCTTATAAATAAGACTAAAATAATTTTTCTGCAAAAAATTTGCAGAAATGTCTTTAAGAGCCACCAGAGCATGGATTCTTATTTATCCTGTAGTCACTAATTTTTCATTAAACAGTTATGCTGTTTAGGCCATCCATTTTTGTCTCTCTGTTGAATGATGAACTCTCTAAGAATGGGAAATTAGGAAATGTAGCATCTTTTTACTTTTTGCCCCATATCCTCACCCTACCCCTGTTGTTGGATAAGTAACAAGCCGTTGAACTCCAGGGTTACTTCAAATACTCAAAGAGCAACTCTACCACTACACCAGTACATTTCCGTTCCTATGAGCAACAGATTATTAATTGTACAAGAGAAATTATTCTGGCTGAAGAGGCTGCAGATGCTCTGTAGTTGTATGTTTTTTAAAATGGCACTAAAAGGAAGAAGAGAAACTCTGCTCTACTGTTCATTTGCTAAATGACCTTGTATCACTCAACCAGTTACTGCCTACGTGGTGTGATCTTTCTCTTGATGATGATAATGTCTAAGTAATTGAAGAATACCTGAACACAGGCGGTTTTCTGTCTTTTAAGTGGTTGAGCTTAAACTCTTCTCCAGAAACCTGATGACGAGGTGACTTTTCAGTCATGGGTTCCGCTTAGTCTGGGTCCTTCTCTGGTTTACGTCCTTTGCTGCCCTAATCTATGATGATCCATCTATATGTTTTCTTGCTCTTTTTTCTGATTAGGCTTTCTGTTGATTCCTTGGTTTAAAATTCAATTACAGTCACCCCAATGCTAACTTAGTATTCTGGACTGTTCTAGCAGAAATGACTTCCTAATAATTTAACTACTCCACACAGCTGGCAGGCCTCTCAGGGTCCCTCCAGCTACCCTCATGCATGTACCAACTTTTCACATTTTCTCTGATTGCTCAGCTGTCCAATTTCTTTCAGCTTGTCTCTCCCTAGGTTTTCCTTAATTATCATCTTCTATTTTTCTGCAAGTCATCTACTCTTTGACAAGCCCACTCTCCCCATTGCTATAGCATTGCATCCTGTACTTCCTAAAAATGTGATAGCCACAGTCTCCCTCTTTGAAGCTTCTCAGACACTTCTTACAGGACATTGGGACTGTAAAGGGATTTATTTCCAACCATTTCACTTGAGAGCAAAAGTAACTGAAGTCTGAAGAGGTGAGTTACCAAAATTAACCAGTAATTAACCTTAAAGCCAGAAGTAAGCCCAAGGCTCTTTAATTGCGAAGAGCTGGAGAGTCCAGACTTGGCTCCCACTGGTAGAGTCCTTGTTCCCAGAGATCTGAGTTCTGTCTGTGTGGGGATCCATTTCCTCCAACTGCCATAACCTCTAGTAGTTGCAGCTGAAATGCAAACAGTGAGATTTGAAATCTGCACCAGCACTTCTACAATTAAACTACCCTCCACTCTGTGTAGACAGAAGGGCATTCCACTGAATCTGCATATGAGTTGGAAAGGGGACATTACATTATATGCAAAAAGAAGAAATTTTTTGTTTGTTTTGGTTGGAAAAACTGTTCTGAATTATCTCATTGAATACTGAATAACAGTTTTGGCAGAGGTTTTAACTTGTGTCAGACTTCCTCAGTTATTACTTTGCTTAACTACAATGTCAAAGATTTGTTCATCGATCCTCTCTATAGCATACTCTTTGGTAGCTTTGATGTTTTTTGTTTTTGTTGTTATTTTTTTCCTCACCTTGTTTTGAAAAGTCCTAGGCCTCCCAAGATGCTCTGTCTTCCCAGAGCCTCCACCACCATCTGGTGGTATCTTTAGGATTGACCGCCTGTGTGTCCCCAAGATATTTCTGAAGCTTTCACTGGGAGCAAACTTTTGCTTATTCATTTTCACTATCTGTCAGTGGATGACTCATCCGTGGCTCCTGAGTCTGGCTTATTTCTGGAAAATTGTCCAGAGACGAAACCATTATTGGTTTGGTTCTTACTGGTATTCACGGCTAGTCCTTGGTGACTTGTATAAAATTTCACAGCTTTCACAGTATCTCATTTGAGCCTATGAGATGGGCGGGGCTGATATTGTCTCTAGTTTATGGCTGAAGAAGTTTTCGTTCAGAGAGATTAAGTGATTTACTCAAAGTCGCATAGGTAATAAGAGGCTAAGACTAGGATCTCAGCCCAATGCCAATGCTATCTTCCACACCACTCTGCCAACTAAACTTTAAGATTACCTTCGTCTTCTTATTATCCCACCTCCAACTTGCCTGAAAGGAGAAAACACCACACGTTTAGAAGTAGGACTGGAAGAAACATTGTCATTCATGACAGTAGGCTACTAAGAGAACCTTACGGCTGCTCCATATTGCAAAACAAGATTCATGTCCTGCTTCCAAAATTGCTAATTTAACAGAATGGCAATTATTGACATACACACAAATCAAAGCTCAATCTCAGGGGTCTTTGACTTCTAATCCATTTCTGTGCAACAAGTGATTAAAAACATACAGTGTACTCAGAGCCAGGCTCTCAAATGCTCTCCTTAGTACTTTGCAAAGAATGTGTGGGAGTTCTGTTGTGTGACTAACAGAAAGCGTATGTGGGCAGTGCCACAGACTGCCGCAAAAACAGAACTTTCCCCAAGTTAGAGAACTCTGGAAAGGCCAGGCAATTTTCCTAACGTGTCTGCCACCTGCCATCTGAACTCTTAGACTTGCTGGGAGACACTGAGGATTCTAGAACAGAGAATCAAAAGGGAGAAAAAGGAGCAGGGGAAGAATAGGTCTTGTTACATGTCACCAGTGCTGTCCTCTGCAGTATGCAATTGCTCAGGACATACAGAAAGCACCAAAATTGCAAATGCAGGATATTAAATTAATGTCCAGTGAAAGTTCTCATACAGAGGAGGCACTCTCATGTTTTGTGTTAGGCACTCCTAATAAAGTATGGGATATAGAATCTTTCCATGAACCCAGCTATGCTCACATGTCTCTTACTGTTCCGCATAGTCCAAACTGGACAGTCCAAACGTGGGATGTCCTTCTAGCTCTCCAAGGATCCTTCCATGGGCCCCTGACATGAAGTTTTCATAACATTTTCTCCTTGGGCCAGTTCTTGTGAGTGAGGAGTTAATATTTAACAGCCCAGAAAGAAGGACTACTTTTTAGTTCTCTTTAACCTTGCTTGAAGGAGTTTTGAAAGTCTAGTGGTTACAGTTTCTGATGTCAGTGTTTTCTATCTGTACTTTATGGTATATTCCTTCAATCTCTGTACTAATAATACCTTTCTCCTCTCGACCTTCAAAGTGATCTACCAACTTCCAAAACTCTTCAATCAGTTGAAATTTCATAAATATTTAAAGCAGTTTTCTGCAAACTGCTTCCTTCAGAGTTTGCTAGCTACTATGTTCTCATCTTCTCAGCTTCACTTTTATGGTGTCATGGTTCAATTGCATGAAGAATAAAAAGACCTGCCATTTTGGCTCCTCACCCTGTTGGTCAAAGACATTTTATAGTTTAACACATTGACCTCCACACTAGAAAAAGAAATTTTTTTCCTTGGGGCCATGGTGTTTTATTACAAAAATAGAATAAAAACTTTGAAAACAAAATGATCCTTTCTAAGTTAATGAAAACTTTGTTATTTCTAAATGTTTTCTGTGTGTGAGTTATATGCAACTTGAAAAATAGTTCTCATGGCTCCCAAGGTGAAAAGACATGTGAGTTACATATGCTTCATGAGGCCCCGGACACAAAACTAGTATGAATTAAATACAACTCACAGGGCAGTTAATGTGTTAAAGAAAATCAAATGCCTGAGCTAATGTAGCCAGTTCCACTTCCATAGAGAAGGTAAAGAACACAAGCATCTCAGGCTCTGAGGCCTCTTGCTAAGACTTCTACAGAAGATGCAAGCCAGTTGCATAGAGGGAAACGAAGCTTTCTTTTTTTCTATTACATTTTAAGTGTTACCTGATTTCTTTTAAGTCTGGGGCACTTCTTAGATATTTGAAGGAAGAGATAACTAGGTACTACTCAAGTGCCATCAAGAAGGAAATGAAGGTTGTAAACATTTAGAAATCGGTCAGTAAACTAGTTGCCTCAGAACCATTTTGATCCTTAGATTCGAGGCCAGAAGTATCCATGACTAGCTAATGAGATAGCTAAGCTGCTTAGGGGTCAAAGAGCCCTTCCCATTCATACATCACCATTAAAACTGTAACCTAATCACACACACACGTTACAGAGTCGAGTTAGCAGGAAAAGAATCCCGAATGATCCTTTCACCTTGGCAAAAAATGAGGGATCATAGAAATAATGTCTTCCCTGCTATTGTTGTCCTGCATCCACAAGTATATTCAAGACCCACTAATTCCAGGCTTTAATTTAAGATTAACATGAGTGGAAAGATTCTGAACAGCTCTACTTTATATTGCTATAACAATTACAGCGTATTTCCAGTAGAAATTACATTTCACCATGCATTGCCATTTATTTTTTTGTTCAGGACAATAATATCCAAGTCTAGAGGATGCCAGCACGTCACAGCCAGCCTTCAGTACACAGGAGAGAAAGCCATCAGCAAGCAAGGAAATGGTTGCTTTTTAGAGAAGATAATTCTTTGAGACTTTACTATAACCACTTCTTGAATAAGGAGAGCTAGCAGACAAATTTAAAGTATTTGTTTTCAAAGCAGTTAAGAAGAAAAATATTTGTCAAAAGCAAAACCAGCACAGTCTTTATTTTGGTCGCATGAAGTGCCCATGTGATTTCAGTCTTTTATACCCTGCCCAGCTATGAGGTCTACAACTTCTGCTCTTTCTGCAGGTGCATCTTCCAAACACATGTGTGTCAGGAATTATAAACCTTGGGGGTCTGATTCTCTAGAGTTGGAATCTTTCTCCTTGAAGAACAGATTAATTCAGCTTCCTAAGGAAATATTGGGTGAAATTTCTACAGAGTAACTAATTAGGAGTTTTTAAACCTGCCTCCACTTATCTCAAATTTAGCCAAAATAGTTTCACCTTCCAGCTTATGATACTATGTACAAAATTCCATGGACAAGAAATGCCAAAGGAACAAAAATGTTTTAATTAAATAATGTGATGGAGCTACCTTTTTAAACCATTATACTTTTTTCTATAGCTATTTTATCTACACCTATCAACAGCATAGAAGTTGAAAAAATGGAATATTCTCGTTATTAATGTTGGCCCTATTTGTAGTGAGAAGCTATGATTGCTTCAGATTCTGAGAAGATATCCTGCCTATACCTTGTAGCTCTATTTAATTTAATTTATATATATATATATTCCCTTGTTTCAATTAAACTTACAATATAGCCCAAATAAAGAGACTGTGTTTCTTGCCTGTTTTGCTGTGATTCTTGAAACATCAGGATTCAATGGGTCCATCAGCTGAACTTGGGGATATATCTTATTTTTCAAGATTGAGAAGACATTCCCCGTTGAGTTTAAAAAGACTGGATCAAGGTGAAAATTGATGGTATCTGCTTGGTGATTTACACATAGTGGTGGTTTTAGATGGCACATTTTTGACAAGCTTTCTATTGAGGTAAGTCGTCTCAATGCTCTTACTTCTTGGGTAATGGAACATGACAGAGTGACATGGTCAGTTTCTGCATGCAGGAAAGTGGCACTTCCACTTCCTGTTTCTTTGGACACTCACTCTCGGAACGTTGGCACCACGTGTCAGGAAGCCCAGGCTGCCTTATGGAGAGACACGGTGTGGCAAGAACATGTGATCGGGACCAGTCTGCTGCCATGTGAACAAGAGCCATCGCCGGGTGGATTCCTTCCCCATCCCGACCTATCCCTGCACCCCTTGTGTCCTACGACTGCCTTCACCATAGCGGGAAGTATAAGGCATGAACTTGAAAAACATTTCCTGTGGGTAGTTATGCTCATGGTTACTATTTTCCCTCTATCTGAACTCAAATTATTCATCAACTAATATAAAATACAGTGTGCTATGCCGATAGAAGGCAGACAAAAGGTTTATTACTGATCTTTGCAATCTCTTGATATTAAGACAAAATTTGGCCACCTGGTAATCATCTTGATCTCTTCTTTAGAAAAACCTTTCCCCCTCTTTTCCAGGACCATAATATGAACACATACATGACCTATTTAGAACAGTTAATACTGTTCTCTAACAATTCCAAAAGTCTTACATTTTTTTCATGTTGTTGTAAAATGTAAACAACAGGTAGTAATCTCATGGCATTCAACATACAGAAACTATAT